ATTGAAAAATACTCTATAACTCAAATAATTCATTGATTTGTATTGCTAATACCAGTGATTTTTTTATTTTACTCTGAAGACAAAAATAACTTGAATAATGACCCAGCTTTAATTTTAAAAGTTAATAATCAAAGAAATTTTTCTTTTATTTTTGACTTAGATAAGAGCCATGGCTCCCAAATTTTGAAATCCTATCTCTGTTTATCAAGGTAGCCCACATTTTTTTCTCAAAATTCAACCCATATTTGCAGTGAAGAGGGTCCGATTCAGAAAAAAGAGTGGGGTTTCTGTCAGAGCAGAAGAAAAACACCTGCCATTAATCCCAAGAGCACAAGTGGGGTCTGGAGTGTCCAAAGCAGCCAGCACAGCTGTGAATAGAGGTTGACCTCTGCTTTGGTTCTGTCTTGAGCTGGCAGGTGTCAGGACGCCATTCTGTCTGCTCAGAAACACCCCCTTTTGCAGGACGTGAATACAAATTGTGAATGCAAATTTTGAAGCTGCCTAAAGAGTTCTAGTTGATACATATCACGTTGGTAATTGGTAATTAGTAATTACATTTTGAGAAAATGACTCCTCTCCATTCTCCACTGTCAAATTATTTCAGAAAAGTCTTTACCTCAAACACACCCTATAACCTAACAAAGCAATTTTAGAGGACTGGTACAGTGAGAAGCTTGGCCTCTGAAATTTCACCAATAAAAGCAAATAGAACTTTAAAGAGGAGAAGCTTTAGGAAGGGAAGGGGTGAAAGCTGGGGAGGGATCCACAGTAATTGTAAGTGACCTTACAGTAGCTGGATTTTCCAAGGGTGGTTTTTCTTAATGCTAATATCTACTGCTGACACTAGACTATTTAGCTCTTCCAGAACAAACTATTTAGATTTCTAATCAGCTGCTCCCACCACATTCTCCATCAGTACTTAGAACACTGCCAAACTCCCTCTCTATATTTAATAACTGTATATGAAGATCAAAATAAAGTTAAATAACATTCTACTTAAACCGAGACTAGAAACTCCATTGTAGTTCTTAAACTTGATGGCAGGTATCTTCTCATTCTTTTCTTTGGGTTGTCTTTGGCCCCACCAAAAATAAAATTCTATTTGCAGAGTATTAGTGAATCTTTTGTGTATGTTTAATATGACCAAGTAAATTCTTTAAACTTAATTTTACAGAGGTAAACACAGACTGTACTAATTAGTCACTGCTTGATTCATGGAAACATTAATAAAAACATCAAAAATTTAGTGAAGACATTAAAAAATAATTTTCCTAGCCTCCCTTTTTTAATGGCAAAAATTGTTTTCTGGGTAAGAGATAAAAGGATTTTGTCTTTTTTCCCCTCCCTGATACACTATAGTTCCTCTTTCTCTCATTTTGAACTTGAGATCTTGGAGTCAGTGTCCCTGACCCTGTGGGAAATGCGATTAGAAGGCATTTCAGAAAGCACCTGTTGAAGGCAGGCACATGATCATCATTCTTTCTGGGAATCTAGTGCTAGAGCTGTGTCCCAACACTCAGCGTCCCAAACCACTGCATGTAAAGTCCCACAGACTAGCTTAAACTCACTTCCAAGAGACCTACACTTGATAATTTTTTTAATTTTAGGCATCTATAAAAGCATTAATGTAATACTTTCCTCTTTAGATTGGGAGAAGGTTAAATGCTGAAACAGGTTCTTTGTTGATAGTAAAATATACAAAATGTAAGACATGATGTTATTGTTATTATCAATTTCATGATAAGCTCACAGCTATTTACCAGAAGTGCCACAACTGAGGACGAGAATTGGGTACAGGTCCTCTGCTGCTAATTCTTAGCAGGAGATATTTTAGTAGGCAGAGCATTCCCACCTGCCCACCTGAAGTGACAGTAATCTCCACTAGGACCTAAAGAGGGTACTTTGCTAGAACCTTGGCTTTTCTTTCCATCTAGACTTCTTATTCCTCAGCCCTACTGGAGGTGAAGGTGAGAGATTGAAGGAAACTATGAAATGTTCTAATTCCTTGGTAGGCTGAGCCCTGAAATGTGACTTTTATTTTTAAGAGCTAAGGGGGAAAAGTATTGGTGCCTCTAGAATGAATATTTCCTGCTAGTATTTTTGTTCAAAGGTAGAGAAAATTTCAGTGCATCTCAAGAATAGACAGCTCTCCAACAAAGGAGAAGTTCCTGAAAAGGTCCACATATATATGGTCATCTAATTTATGCCAAAAGTAACACTTGTATTACAATGGGGAAAAGATGCATTTTCAATCAATAATGTTGGGTTAATTTGATATCCACATGGGGAAAAAAAAATCTTGACTTTGACCTCACATCATGCACAAAATCAATTCTCTGTGAATTCAGAACAAAATATGAAAGATAAAATAATACAACTTTTAACTTTTAGTATAAACATAGAAGAACCTCTTCATGATCTTGGAGTAGGCAAAGATTTCTTAAGTGGAACACAAAAAGAGATAACTATAAACATAAAAAGTGTTAAATTGAATTTTATTAAAATTAAGAACATCTGTTCATCAAAAACACCTACCAGAGAATAGAAGCACATGTACAGAGTAGGAGAATATATTTGTGTTCTCTCTCTTCCCCACCCCATCTCTATATAAATATAAATAATATAGAATATGTAGTATAATTTATAAAGAACTCTAAAAAATCAATAGGATAACAATTGAAAAAGGGCAAAAGATGTGACCACTTTCTGAAAGAGGATATAAAATGGCTAATACCTACATTAAGAGGAGTTAAACTTAATCATTCACTGGAGAAACAGATTAAAATGCAGTGTGAAACTACTACAACTTCCACCAGAATGTCTAAAGTGAAAAAGATGGAAAATACCAAGTATTGTGTTAATATAGGGGAACTGAAGTTCTTATACATTGCTGATGGGAGTGTAAAATGTTAGAACCACACTGGAAAACTATTTGGCAGTATCTACTAAAACTGAACATATGTATGTATAACCTGATAATTCCACTCCTAGATATACAAGGTCTTCCTGGAAAAAGTCCAGCCATTGTTAATATAATGAGAACAGTTTGTGCAACATTGATGTAACCTGGCAGCCAAGAAGAGCGGACTGGAATGCACATGTGTGAACAATGTCAACTTCACTGTACTAGTCAGTGGGGGCTGTAGGCACTGTTGAGTGAGCATGTGTACTGTGTGGTCATCACATTCAAAATGACTGAGTGGGTAGAGCAACAGATCTACATTAAATTTTTCATTAAGCTTGAATATTTCTCTGTGGAAACAATTCAGGTGATACAGAAGGTTTTTGGGGACAGTGCAATTACTGCAGTACAAATAAAAGTGTGGCACAAACACTTCAATGATGGTCAAGAATCTGTTGAAAGTTATCCATGTTTTGGAAGGCCTGCAACAAGCAGAACACCTGAGAATGTTGAATGTGTATGGACTGAAATCAACAAAGATTGACAACTGACCGCAAGAACTAGAAGCTGATCTGGGGACTCCCAACACTATTGTGTCCAAGATTTTGCAGGATCTTGGCATGAAACGTGTGGCAAAATTTGTTCCATGGCTACTGCTATCAGAGCAGAAGGAACATTGTGCTTCAGTTGTTAAAGACTTGATCCAGGCTGTTACCAATGAACCAGATTTCCTGAAGAAGTTCATAACCAGAGATGAATGGTGGGTCAACTGCTATGATCCAGAAATGAAGGCCTACTTGTCCCAATGGAAGTTGACTGGCTCTCCATACCCAAAGAAGGCATGACAAAGTTGCAACAAGATCAAGACCATGTTAACTGTGTTTCTTGATTGGGAAGGTGTTGAATCAAAGTGTTTGGCCCCTCCAGGCCAAATAATTAATAAGGAGTACTGCTTCAATGTTCTTCCTTCATCGAGAGATGCACTATGACGAAAATAGCTGCAGCTATGGGCAAGTGGTGACTGGCAACTTCATCATGACAAAGCACCCACTCATGCATCAAATCACCCAGGTGACTCAGCCCCCCTACAGCCCAGACTCGGTGCCCTGTGACTTCTGGCTATTCCCAAAACTAAAATCACTTTTGAAAGGAAAGAAATTTCAGTGTTGATAAGATTCAGGAAAATACAACAGGGCAGCTAATAGCAATTGGGAGAATTGTGAATTGTGTGAGGTCCCAAGGTGCCTACTTTGAAGGGGACTGAGGTATCATTGTCCTATATAAAATGTTCCTTGTATCTTATGTCTTCTTCAATAAATGTCTCTTATTTTTTCATAGTACATGGCTGGATACTTTCTGGACAGGCCTTTATATACTCAAAAGAAGTGCATAAGAATATCACTTGCTAAAAAGTTACTACACATACAAGAAAAAAGTGCATACAACTTTTAACCAGTAAACACATACAGTGATGTTTATGATAGCACTAATTGTAATAGTCAGGACCCAGAAACTCCTGGAAACTAATGGGCATCAACCACAGGATGACTAAATAAATTATGGTTCATTCACACAATGGGACATTATAGAACAGGAAGAAAAATGATCTACAACCATGCACAAAATTATGCATGAATTTCACACATATTGAGCAACAGAGGCCAGACACATAATGTATGATTCTATTTATATAAAGTACATAAACTAACCTATTCTGTCAGAAGTCAGAAACAGTGATTACTGTTGGTGGAGAGCAGTAATAAGGAAATGTCTCAATAGGTGCTTCTGTGTTTCTTTAGCTGGTTCCAACTTGCATAGGTATGTTCGGTTTGTGAAACTTTATTTAGTATATAATACACTTATGACATGTGCTTTCCTGTGTGTATATATACCATCATACCATGTATATATAATTTTCATATTCTAACCATATTATTATAATTATAGTTTAGATCCCAGCATTCCTTGGAAAACCTCATTGGCAGCTATATCTCTCTGCCCTTTGCACGAATCTTGTAACTAACTCTAGCTCATGTTTCAAGCTATAATTTTTAAAATTTATTTTTAAACACTTTATTTTTCTCTTTCTTTTCTTTAGGGCCCTCCTGGTCCAAAAGGTGATAAGGTAAGAAAATGAATAGGAGAAACAAATTAAGTTAGTGGAAATCCATATTGACATGACCTAAACTATGATCTTTTTAATGAGCATCACATACAGACTTAGTGCTTAAACTATCTATCATCTCATTTTTCTACTCTACAGGGAGAACAAGGTGATCAGGGGCCTCGGGTAAGTTGTACTCTTCCAATCTTGAGCAGAAAATTAGTTTTCAGCTCCGAACTTACTGAATGAAAGCAGCCGTGGCTTCCTAACTGCCTTTGTGTCACATAGTTTAGTAATGGCTGACAAAAATACTGCACCACTTATAAGTGAAATAGCCTTAATAATAACTAATGTGTATATGCTATTGCGTTATCTTGACTTGGTAACTGTAAACAGAACACTCCACAGTAGTTAACCCTACTGATTAAGGGCCAAAACTGCTACTAAAAGTCAACACCACTGCCTCTCCAGAGGCTGTTGGGTCCTTTATCATTGCATGCAGTGTTTTGCAACATAAAGGCCATGTGGATTCCTATTGAATTTGGCTTTTTTCTGCAGTTTAACTTTATGTGCTATTGCATAAATATGATATATTATAGATGAAAATATTAATGCATTTTATATTTTTATTCTTCACCATGATTGAATAATGCTTATTTGAATTTCTTATTTTTAATAGATTTTTAAGCAGATAAAAGGTGTAATATAATTCAGCAATCCAGGGAGAAGGGGCATTCGTTTATTCTTCTCAAATGTGGCTCTTTTAACCATTAAGCACAATGGTGAATGCGTTGTTGTTACCTTGGTAGTGCCAAGTCCTCTGCTCCACATCTGTGCCTTATTACCCGAATGTTCAGACATACTGTTCCAATGATGTAGTGGCTCCGTTCAGACATACCTCTCAATTTTCTCATGTCACTAAGCACAAAAGCGAGTATTTGGTTGAAGAAAGTCATTTTTTACAGGGGAAAAGCACGTTTAAAACTTGCAGGTTGAAAGTACAATTGTGTAGGATTTTTTGTCATTGTGTATAATTATTGAATTCAAGTATAACACAGTAGAGGGTTTACTGCAAAAGATGTAGTCAATGCAAATTTGAAAAGTCTATAGTCTTATCTCCTCATGCTTCTTAAACTAGGTAAAAGTTATGCTGTGATTCACTTTCCTTGCTTTTCTTCAGCCATTCTTCATAGAGAAGTGATTATGCCTCAGAGCATTTCGTTTCTCATGGCAGTTATTCTAGTTGATGACTAGCTTCAAGGTAAAAGCTCACTTTATGGTCAAGAAAATTAGACATTATGATATATGTCATGGATGTGAATGGAATAAAATTCTCATAACCTTAAATGATTAGCGTATAGCCACTTGCTCTGTATGTGGTGATTATTTCACATGGCATGCCTCCATGTATTGAGTATCATTTCTTTCTACACGCAATATCAAAATCACTCAACTTGCCCTTTCCAGGTAAGAGGGAGACTGTTTCCATTCTGAGAAATCTTCTTTTGGCAAAGGAAGTGGAGGGGTGGGTCACAGCTTAGCTGTCATCAGTATGCATGCAGTCCTAATTTTCAAAAAGGTGTGTTGGCTTTCATCGTTCTAAAAAGTGATGATTGATTATAAAGCTAGGCCAAATTTTCAGGATGAAACCTGAAACCACGTGAAATTCACCTGGTTTCATGTTGCAGTACAAACTTAGACTTGGACCAGGTTTCTTGGAAGTTTGGCCAAAGTTCATGAACTACTTTGACGAACCCAGACTGCCTTTCATACAGATTTCAGCCAGTTTTCACACCGACTGGGGCCAAGTTTCACACGATTCAGGGGCCATTCAACATTTCAGGTGCAAAGTGGCAAAAAAAAATGATCCCATTTTCCCCTGGATTTTTCTTTGTATTAAAGGAATTTAAATTGAATTAACAACGCAGAATAAATCTTCATGGGTAAAGCTCTAAATGTCCTGGAAAGTATAAGAGAAAGGGAATGAGGACCTATTGACTTGCCTATCTTTTTCTCAGATTCTTAGAGACCAGGCAGGTCACATTCAGTGCTTTTAGATTTTATAAGTAGTCCTTTTTAGTAACATAGTATTAGCTACTTATTAGGAAATTTATCATATCAAGATAATAAATGAATGTTTTATATTTCCAAATAAATGAAAGTAAGTTAGAACTGGAAAAGTCTTCAATTTAACGAAAATTAATTTTACCCACATGTTCTATAGGTACACTATTCCAGCTGACATGGACACAGATGCTCTTTTTCTAAAATGTAAATCTTTGTATTTGAATACCCTGACCATTTTTATCTTATCAAGGATTTGAATTCTACTTTTTACCATTTGTTTCGAGTAATTCATTTCTTCCCATAATTAACTTAACAATACTATCCTCCATCATTTCAATTCTTTGTTAGCTGACATTCCATTATGGGATTCATACTGTTTCCTTGAATATGAAGTTCTTTTATTTTGTCTTTGGCTCCCCAAGTGTCAAACAAGAATATATTAAGGTATAATATGAAAATAAAAGCAGGAAATAGATAATATAGAAATTAAAAAAGTGAAAGTATCTTGAATTCTTGGATGAATATTTAGCAATGTGTACTGAGCATCTACTATGTTCAAGGTACCATGCTTAATACTATAAGCACTGTAACTATGTCCACTTCTCTCTCTTCTCTGCTACCACTCAATTCAACCTACTATCATCTCATGTTCTTAATTACTATGGTAAGCAAGAGTCTGATTAACCTTGCTTCCACTCTTAAGCCTGTATAATCCATTTTCTACAGGCAGCCAGAGAGATCATGTTACATTATAAATTAGATCATATTACTCCTTGTTTTAAACCTTAGAATGAAATCTAAACCACTTGGGTTGGCCTCCACAGACCTTCAAGTTTTAGTCTTTGCCTGCCTCTATAACCTCACCTTATACTAGTCCTCCCCTCCACTCACTATGCTCCAGCCACACTGTCCTCCTTGTGTTCTTCAAACACAGCACACTCATTCCTAATTTGGTGATTTTCCATTTGCTCTCTTCTGGCCTTCTTGTGATTAAGTTCTTCTTATCATTGAGATTTCATCTCAAATCCTCCTTGGGGAGAACTTCCCTAGCTATCCAATCTAATCTGAGGTTATCCTATTTGCTTATTTATTTATATGCTTGTTATCTGTAAAACATGCCAGCACCTGGAAACATCAGCTCCAAGTACTTGGTCTATCTTGTTCATACCACCATCACCTAGGACAGTAAGGACTTGATAAATATTTATTGAATGTTAGAATGAAATATTATTACATCATTACTACTCCCAAGATCTGGTAATCTCATGGGTGCTTGAACAAGAAAACCATGTGGTTGTATATTATATGCCTTAAATAACTGTGCCAAGAGATGCTAGAAAAGTGAACATTCTTCCATTTTAAATAACTGGAGAATGTGGAAGAGTTATCATTTGAACTAGGACTTCGTAAATGGATGATCATTAAAAGATAAGATTAAGAGCAGGACATTGCACATTCCCAGAAGAAATAGTACAAACAATATTATTCATGTAGGAAATGACGGGATTAATTTAAGAAACAATAATATTCCGTTTGCTAAGGAAATAGGTTAAATATTTAAAATTATATCATATAAGGCTGAAATTTTTATTGACATTATATTATGGAGCATTTTGAATGTCTTGTGTGGTAGGCAATAGGAGCCATTGAAGATGTTTTTTATTACATCATTTGATATATATTACCACCAGACTATTTGGTGTTACTACAAAATGTTCTTTATGAAAATCTTTTTGGATACCAGTGTAAGAAATGTCCAATCCTGTACAGAATTTTTATGAGTTTATTTGAGCCAGAATGACAACATGACCAGAAGCAAGATCTCAAATACTATGCAGAATGACAGCTTTGGGTTCCATTTATACATTCATTTGGAATTAAGGAGAGAACATTAGGAAGACTACATGAAGGTAGGAGAAAGCAAGGACAGGGAAATCTGTATGAATGGATTATAGGACAGTTAACAAGAATTTATTCACTTCCTTGAGTGTGGTTACACCACCAAGGGGTCTAACAAAGAAGATTACTCTGGCATTTTAAAGGTTTTTTCACCTAGATGCACAAGAACAATGGATAATGCTTGCTTAAAGAAAAGACAAACCTTTTATAGGTCTGAGGTGTGACTATACACCATGACGTGCCCAGTTAGGAATTTATGATCAGATCACCCTGTGAAATTACTTTTCAGTCATTGAACTTGGAAGATTTATTATAGAACCCCCCTTTTTTTTGTCCACATGGTGATAGTATCCAGTACAAAAAGGAATGGGAAGAGACTGAAAACAGGGAGAGTGAGTAGACTGGGAAACTATGTCAGTCATCAGGAAAAGGTCATGAGAATCTGAGCTATAAGGATAATGTCCAGTCCTCAGTGGGGAGATGAGCGGAAGTGGTAGGCTGGTTTAGTCTGGATCATCAGGTGTCTTTGGAGGTAAGGGGCTATACTGAGCAGTAAGTACAGTGTCAGAATGAGAAGCTCAGCAGTGGGGGGCAGGGCAGGGCTAAGTTGGTGCCAAAGAAGAAATTCCAAAAGAGTCACCAAAATATTGGAGAAAGCACCATGTTTTCTATGGAAATCAGAATGATTTTATTTTTCTCACATAATGAGAAATTCAGAAAAGGTGGTTGATGTTGTTTTGTATGTAATTCAATGATGTTACTATAGAAGTCTCTGTGAATCTCTTGGCCTCTTAGTCATGATTGCAAGAAGGCCACTTTAAGTCCAACAATCACATCTGTATCTACCTCAGCAGGAAAGAGAAAGGGAAAAGAGTCTATGTCAAGAAAATAAATTTTTTTCCATGAATTTTATAGCACACTTCTGCTCACGCCTGATTGGCCAGATCATGTCATATAGTTAGGTCAAAACTGGAAATGAGCCAAGGAGAATGAGGTTGGAAAAGAAAGTTATGAAGTTTCCAGTCAAGACGGCGGCATAGGCAGACATGGCTTGCCTCTTCACACAACCACATCAAAATTACAACTAAATATAGAACAAACATCACTCAGAACTGTCAGAAATTGAGTTGAATGGAAGTCCGACAACTATGAAATTAAAGAAACCACATCCATTGAGACTGGTAGAAGGGGCGCAGACACAGAATAGGCTGGTCTCTCGC